CACTTTTTTAACGTAAACCTTCGACCACTTTGTCGTTGCTCTGATGGAAAACCAGCTTCGAAGAACATTCAGCATTTTGCAACACTGCAAATTTTCTATCTCAAAAAAGCTTGTACGTACATGTGGCACCAAGTATCATTTATGCGATGCTTCCTCTTTTGTTTACCAAAAACTTCGTCTGCGCCCTACGTTTTAGCTTCTGTCTCATATGGCGTGAGCACGGTTCCCGCACGATCGCTTCGCCGGCGCTTGCGTCTTCGCGAACGCGTTCTCTGAGCATGTTCCCATGGCTGATTAACTATAGAAGCTCGCCTCTGAGCACATTGGAATGACCACTAGGCGATTCGAGTGAGACATATTCTAAATGAAAGGAGTAGCTGAACGTGTTGTATATGGTAGAAAAACGAAAGAAATAGACTTCAGAAGCGATCTTTTGCCTAACCGCTTCACTAGGATTACCGCCGAGTTGAACGAAGTGGAGAAACGACTGTCACTCTTTGTGTTCAAATCAAGATAGTAGGTGGCGGTGGTGCAGGAGGAACCAAAAGGCTGCCGCTTGTATCCGCAGGAGATAATTAAGATCGCGAGCGCTGTGGAGGAATATTTTCCAAGTATCCAAGAAAACTTGGCAAGGACATCCTTTAGGAACAGATCTTCATAACTTTGCCCGGAGATAACTTTGAAAAATTTGAGAAACAGATTTTAATGCAAATTGGAAGGCGCATTCACTGGGCCTTAAGGTAAGTAAAAATTTGGAATTATAGAAGTAAGAAAAGTCGACTTCCTTATAGGAAATTTTTGATTTATGAATTTTGAAGTTTCGGATTGTTGAAGACCGGGATTTTATTCAAAATTCATCCTTTTTTATAAAGAAATAGTTTGCCTATTGAGTTAATAAGCCAAAGCAATCAAAATCTCATGAAAACACATCTGAAGGCTTTGTGTCAAGATGCAGTGTGTAGGTTGTCTCATAAATTTAAACTCATTCTAATTCTGAATTTTGACACTAAATTTCATAGGATTTGTCATTAGAAGTTTTTTGGTAATCTTTTCGAGATTGCACACAATACCAAAAGTTCATCGTGTAACTTAGTTAACATTATTTTCTGATGACCACTTCCTATTTTCTGCTTTGAATCCAAAAGTTTCACTAAAAATTCACTTAAAATCTTTTACATAACACTGAACTTGAAACTTGAAATTCCTCACATTCTGATGGTGATTTTCAAAGGCACACTTTTTGGTAAGAATAGAGTAGCGAGACAGAGTTGTTTATCTATCCGGTAGGCGTATAACTGAAAAATGCGCCTTTCAAATACTGATTCCAAATCTGTTTTTCGTTCCTTTGGAAATTAATTCCAAGAAGAGTTATAAGGGTTTGTTCCTAATAGATATCCTCGCCAAGTTTTTCTGGACCCTTGCCAAAATCTTTTCCACAACGCTCGCGCTCCTTATTATCTCGTTCGGCTACAGGCCTTTGGTTCCTCCTGCACCGCATCCGGTAGCAGCTTACAAAAATTCGTGCAATAATTGTTTTGTAGAGCCTATTCGTCAATAAAAACATGTTCTACACAGGGTGTCCCAAAGTTTGGTCACTTATATCTGTCCTTCCAACAGACCTCTTACCTACACTTAGGTTACATTCAGTAGAGTTGTCCTAAACTAAGAATTGCAGTATGGAACGATCTAGTTCGCTCTTCATTACTGTAGAGTGACGGTAAGAACTTTTAGCTTATACCGTCATTGTTGAATAGCTATGTTTCAGAAAACTTTCGAAAAAGTCTGAAAATTGGTCACCAGACTATTCACGGCATGCTGTTTTCATCACTTAATCTACAACAAGCTTCTCAAATGGTGTAATCACAATTTTAGAGCACTTAATAAGAATAACTATTGCGGTTTATCTGGCATAACTTATGGAAGCCATGCGGTAAAGGGTGACGTTCATATTCAGCGGCGGCTTCAACTAGCCTAATGTAAAAGTTTACAAATTGTTTGGTTTTTCCCTGAGGCGAAATAAGGTCTTTAACTGCTCAAAACCCTTCTTGAACTTCCTACCGTCATCCTACAGCGATCAAAAGCGATCGGTTATTCGCTCCATGCCTAATCTAAGCTGCAGCTAGTCCTACAAAATGGTGCCAAAGTTTGGCAGAAGACTTCTTGGAGGGGAGATATCAACGATCCAACGGTGTATACATGCTTTGGGTCACCTTGTATATACTCAAAGGCGTTCAAGTAAAAGCTTGCGGATCTTCGCCGGATCTGCACAATAATTTTGATTCTTAAAGCTTATATTTAGGCAGCGTCGGCAAGCGTATGGGTACATCATTCCTTACTCAAGAGGAACTGTATCATTAGTTAGACATACAGTGCAGACAGAGACTATACCAGTCTGGGTGGAAGAACCCGAACGTATCGTGTTTGTTTTTCCTGACGAACCTTCACCAGCCCCTTCGCCCCCATGCTTACTGCCTTCCGCATTACCACCACCACCTCCTCCACCGCCCCCGCCACCCCCACCACCGCCTGCTCCGGTTCTAACTACTGTAAGTAGAACGCTATCAGAGCTCTTGGTTTACAACGTGCAGAATTGGATTGCATAATATCCATTGTTGTACATAGAGATGATTTATAAAACTTGCTTTTACTTTTGTGGTGTTCAAAACTTACGAACAAATGTGCCTGTTTTACTAAATAAAATTTATTTGATTAACTATGTACTCGTTTTTCGCAAGAGATTGTAAACAGAAATATTTCAGAAAATTTGGACTATATCCACGTAGTGGGAAAGTAAACTTTGAGATGACGTCCGATGTGGATAGATTAGAAGAGTAAATAATATAGGACAGTAACAACGTTGCTAATAAGCAGGTTGAAAAACTTTGCTCTTGAACTGATTTGTAGGGCTGCAGAATCAAAGAAAACCTTTCCGCGTCGTGCAGTCGAAAGGTTCATAATTATACAAACACCCGATTTTGGGAGTCGTTGAGTTTGAACTAGGTGAAAGAGCTTAGCGAGAGCGGTATACGCGGCACAGGAGTAAAACTCGTTGTCAAACTTATGAATGTTTTCTGTCCCAAAGAATTTTCAGCGGCTTATATACCAACACCCAAGTTTGACCCTGTAGAAGGCTCTTTTTTTACTCAAAGTTGCGATCTTTTGAGTTAAAAGTCTTCGCAGAAGTTGCAGTGACAGAGTCTGAGTTATATTACCTGTTAGAAGAGCATTACTCTTCTTAAATGGCTTAAAATGCTTCTGGACTTATGCGCTTCAAAAAAGTTTGTTTTCTGTGGTTAAAACACTCTGATTTGCTTCTGCCAAGGCTATGAGGAAAACTATTTTCCATATATTAGGTTGTTACATAGGTCTTGTTAACTTTGATTTCTTACGACGATAAGTCGTGAAATTCATAATTTTAATACGGCTTCAGGATACCATTCGACAGAGCAAAACAAGCTCTACAAGAAAATGTGCAAAATTTCGCACCAACTTTGACCCGCTGTAAGTTTGAATCCAAAATCTGAGTCGTACTGAAGGCCCAAAAAATTGCGAAAAATTCATATCTTTGTTCAGAAAAATCCTACGAATCTCCAACTTGCTCATAAAAATTGCCCACTATATCAAACACTCATATGTACCGCTGCTGTATTCTGTCCTCATCTAGAAATCGAGAAAACGAAAATTTTCTTGTTTTTACAAAAACGAGGAAATGCTGTTTCTATTCATGTAGCTGTATGCTACAAGCCCCCATAGAAGTGTAACCGTAAATTTTCAGTTTCCCAGAAGCTCTACTTTTTGATAAATACCGAATTTAGCTTTTTTCACTTGGGTGTTCAATGCGAAATTAGGTAATTCTCGAAAACTAGGGCTTCTGAAAAGCTGAAAATTTACGGTTATACTTCTATGGGCTTGTAGTATACAGCTACATGAATAGAAACAGCATAGCCTCGTTTTTGTAAAAACAAGAAAATTTTCGTTTTCTCGATTTCTAGATGAGGAAAAAACGCAGCACGGTACGTATGAGTGTCTGACGTAATGTGCAATTTTTGTAAGTTGGCGATTGTAGGATTTTTTGAACAAAGATATGAATTTTCGCGATTTTCTGAGCCTTCGATATGACCCAATTTTGGATGCAAACTTACACTGGGTCGAGTTGGTGCAAACTTCTGCAAACTATCTTGCAAAGCTTGCTTTGCTCTATCGAATAATACGAGCCCTGTAAAGGATATGAGGTACATGACTTATCGAAGTAAGAATTTAAAGTGTAACAAGACTTATGTGCAACCTAATATCTCAGACAAACGGCGGGAAGTTCCGGCGAACATGCGTAAAATATCAAAGTTCCGGAGAACCTTGTTCACCATTGGGGTATAGAAATGACAAAGTTCCCGTGATTTATGACGTCACGGGAGCCGCGGATTCAAAGTTCCGGTGAAAGCGTGTGGGAACTTTGGCAAAGATGACAAAGTTCCCGTGAAGTACACTAAATACAAAGTTCCGGAGAACTTTGTCGTGCTAGCCAGCCGATCGGCGCGGGACCACGCTTCGGGGGCGCGCGCTATGAGGAAGCGGATGTCGAAATACGCCGCAGCGTAGGATCTCGTTTGGGGGTAAGTTCATGCCTCTTCTATCAGTACTTTGTGATGAAGTGTTTCCGTTTTCAGGTGCGAACAAGTGGAGAAGAGGCGCACGACTGCTCAAACGCGCAGGTGCAAGCTTCATCTCGGAGACGCTCTTCGCTGGCTACTGAGAGAAAAAAAGGTAAGCACTCAGTTATTTTGTGTTCCCAATGATGTATTTCCTTCTCTTGCTCTTCATTTCCAAGAGTTATGGGACGCTTTTTTGGATATTTTGTCTTCTTCTTCTTTCTTCATGTTATCTCTGCTCTTAACTCTATCTTCTTGTTATTTCTCCTTTTACCTTTATCTCTGTCTGTCTTCACTACAAGCGTCCCTAGTCTGAAATGTTCTTTGAAAACGCTAAACTTATTTGTGCTAGTTCTATGATGAAAGTTGGGTGAGAATTTTGATATCACTATCATACAACTGGGACACGGGTAGCACTTTGGCTGAGGAGTACTTCTCGCGTACGGCCAGCAGCTTCGGCAACGAGTGTAGCCTCAGGAAGACTTTGGCAAAAGTTGATCCTAGTTCCTCAGCTTCCTTCAGTGTGCCCGTCATTTTCCTGGAAAACAAGCCAGTGAGAAAAACACAAAAACACAAAAAATGGTTATTTGTACTTTTATTCGGTTTTCTCACTATTGGATGATTCTTGTTGTAAAAAGCCAGCATACTATAATACAAAATTGCAGTTTGCAAAAAGGAGTAAGAAATTAGACAGCCAAATTGCGTAAAAAGTATTTTCGTGACGAAGTAGTCTCGCCGCGTCGATAATCATTTTTTTGCAAAACAAGTCGGGAATCCTGACTCTACCTAACCTTTCCAACCAGTGACAATATGCCAAGAACACAGAGAAGTCACTGCTTTTGAAAGACTCAATGTGATTTCCCTTTTACCAGGGATTTAAAATGTGGAAAAGTTGGACTCGGCCATATATTAGGCGTCACCGCTGTAATCACCGGAGGGTACTGGTAATAGCGGAACAGCAACAATGCATGGTCGGACCCTTTTGCTAGTTACATTCCCACTATTTTTTGTCTCTTTTTCACAGAATTTGGAAACAGCCAAGTGTGAGCATTCATAACAATAAATTCTTACGGTAGTCTCTGAAGGTCGCGGCAAAATATTACCTTCCTTCAAACATAATTCACACTATTAAACGGCAATGATGATAGAGAATGATATAAAAAGTCAAGAAATCAATTAAGAAGAGTTCTTGGGGAAGAAATGATAGCCTCACAAATTATCAAAGCTCACCTCATTTTATTTTATCGCTATCAAAGGGTGTTTCAAATAACTTAGCAGCAATATATGTACAGGCACATGCCGTATGTGGATGGGAGTATCGGTGAGAGTGACGCATCCAGGAATGCCATCTCAATAAAGAAACTTTACGAGTAAAAACACAGAACACAACCAAAGAACGTCACCTGGATCAAAAACTTCGCCATATGATGCGCTGAAGCAGAAGCAACTTGTCAGAATGTTAGAGGGAACGTATATTACTGCTCTTATTAGTATTGCTCTTATTGCTCTTATTATTACTGCTCTTATTAAAACCTGCATTCATTCTGTTACAACCAAAGCAAGCCGTAAAGTAGAATGCGTGCCTACGCAGTTACACACTGCACTATACTCCACGCCCAAAACCAAAATTCTATTGGCATTCTGTTCCTGAAACCGAGATATGATGCTGAAACGGAGGCTGACACTCTTTCCGATATCAATAGTTGTTTTGCTGAAAAAAAAACCATTGAAAAACCATTGAAAAAACCATTGAAACTTAAAATCTCAGTTTCAGCACCATATCGCTGTTGCAGGAACAGAATGGCTATAGAATTTTGGTTTTGGGCGTGAAGTATGTTGCAGTGTGGTTCAGTCAAAGTAACAGGTGCAGGTTTGGTATCAGTAGGCTAAAATCAGAGAGACTTTTGCGCTCGATGGGAAGCCGAACTTCTCACTCAAACGTAAAGATGTAAGTAAAAAGAAAAAAAGGAAGGAAAGGAAGACGCGGAAAAGAAAAAAACTGAAAGAACCATCAAAAGAATTACCTGGACCGGTCTTCGGGCTAATTTTTCTCCCAGAAGTTTTGCGAACTGCTATTCCGATTTCACTCACTATGTAAAAGAATAAAAATTTCGCGCAGATCGTCGAAAACGTTTTAGCATCTCCAAGCTCCGAACGAATCAGTGTAAGTACGCGATTGCTACTCGCCGCCCTGGGAGATCCCGAAAAAAAAAACGATTTTTTTTTCAAATGCCCTAGTTATGGCTTCGTTGCCATTGATTAGGTGAACTCATTAGTGTTTCAAGCAATTACAGCTATAATTATGCACTCACCGTGAATGAGAGCTTCGCAGATGAGAACCAAAGCTTCTAACCGCGGTTGGATGAAGTACTCGCCCATCCGCGTCATCATGTCGTACTGAAATGTTAGGTATCTCAAAATTTGATGTTGAGCGAAACACTCACAGCAGAATCCAGGTACTGCACCGCCAATTCCAAATTCTCAGTATAGAAAAAATAAAGTTTTCCCAATTGGAACTTCACATGTGCTGGCATCTCTGCAGAGAACGACAGCGTTAACGCTTTCTAAATCAAACCGCGTCCTTAGGGCCTAGACAGAGTTCACGCGATTTGATCGCCGCGATTTGATCGCTGCAGACAAATGTTACGAGTTCACTGCATGCCGATCTTCTCGTAATTCGGTTGTGATAGTTAGTCACGATTGGTGGTTGTTGGAAAACTATCACAACCGAATCACAAGAAGATCGGTATGCAATGAACTCGTAACATTTGTCTGTAGCGATTGAATCGCGGCGATCAAATCCCTTTATTACGCTACAAAGCCAAGATATGGCTTCGCCTAATGGCTTCACCTTGGAGAGAACCGGAATGGTGAAGAAATGGAGGCGAAGTCCAGTCACGCAAAACTAGTTGATTTTTCTCAAACCAAAATTGGACCAAACATCAACAAGATCAACAAGCAGCACACCCACCAAGATACACACCATCAGTCCCAATCAAACTCAAAAATTCTAAGAAATCAAAAAAATTTCGTAGAAGACTAGTAACCTGAAGCTTCTGGCCTCGCCTTTAATCTCTTTTTCTTTTCTCCAGATTTTCTCCAGATCTCTTTGCATATCGTGATGTATACTGCTAAAATAAATCAATGATCGATTGAAATCAGACGATCAGAAAATATTACTTTCTGTCAATCTGGGGCTTTTTCACAACAGAGCTACTGCCTTTATCAGCAGCGGCTACGGCCCTTATCCGCTTTTCGGGGACTATCGAAGTTGCAACCCGAACAATGCTCTCTTGATCTTTCTTCTATCGCAGAAATTCATCAGAGTCACTATCCCAAAGCAATTTTTTTGAAGTCTTGCTTGCGCTCGTTAGGACGCTTCATGCTATCTACACGATGTGCATATTGCCCAACAGGAAGTTCTTGCCCTTCTTTGATTCCTTCTTCACTACTTCTCCTTCGGTTTCCTACACCGTAATTCTCGACCTTCCTCCGATCTGGAGATAACTTCAGGAGGAGTTTTTGTTTCAATTTGTTGCCTTTTTATCTCAACCTCTTGCGTTCTGGAGCTTTGACTCTCGTGGGTCTCCTCCCACAGATCGTCTTGTATTGCACCGGCGCAGAATCTTGGACTCGGTCGTAAGCAAACCACTGATGAGATCTGGCAAAGCTGATATAGCATTGATCTAAATGCATTGATCTCCCTCAGGCGTCGGGCATAGTTTACGCGATTTCATCGCTTCGCGACTCTCCCAACAAGACAACTGTCATAGTCCATTGCATACCAATCATCTTCTATTTCGGATATGTTAATTAGTTACGATCAATCGTGTCGGAAAACGATAGCTACCGATTTGCAGCAGCATCGGCAAGCAGTGTATTCATAACTGTTGTCTTGTTGAAGAATTGCGAGGCGATGAGCCTGACCTCTGCCTGAGGTCTGACGGTTAATCAGTTTGTGGCTGACAAGAAGCGCTGACAAGAAGCGCAAAAACGCTAACAAGTAATAACGACGTACGGGATTTTCCTCAAAAAGTTTGTAGTAAAAGGCTCGACCAGCTGCAGGAACAACCACTTCGGCATGAACGTATAAAAAGGTTCAGCAATAAAAGAAAGACTCACCTTTACGCTGGGGACCACTTCCTGCCTTTTGTCGTCTCCCACATTCTTAAAACAATAAAGAACTGCTACTAGAGAATTGATACCGAATGTACCACAGAGAGTAGATCAGGAACAAAAAAAACTTCTCAACAAAAGCGTAATCAATGCTGCAAGAAATATACCTGTTGCAGGAACTTGGTCGAGTCCTTTTAGTTGCAAACGCTTTGACTTGCATAGAAGCGGGAGAGAAAATGAGCCACCTATTTACCAGGTGTCTCCAGAAAAAGGCTGAGCATGAGGGCGTAGACGCAGATCAGAGGTAATGCCATTACTGCGGGTGGGGCAATCGATTAGTCAACTAGTACTATCTTATTAAGATTCTTGTTCATGAGCGGTGTAAGGGCTGATGACTGGGGTCATCTCCTAATCGTGGATGCCAGAGCTCGCTCTTTGAAGGTATGTCTGTGCAGATCTAAGATCTAAGAGATAAGGAAGTGAAGTTAACTTTGCAGCTTCTTTCGCAAAGCGGGCAGTTGCTCACAGTCGTGAGAACCGAAGAGCAATTCCCATTTTGCTCAAACTTCGCTATTTCTCCATCTGATATGATTGGCCTGTGACAGGAAAGGGGATCGAATGATCCTCTATCGCTTCGGCGAAAGCCGGGAAGAAGAAGTTTGTAGAAAAATCCAAACTCTAAAGGTGAGCGGTGACTCCGGTGAGCTAGCTTTCATGTCAAATCCGGTGAGCTAGCTTTCATGTCAACTTGATCTCTATCATTGCAGTATGTTTAGTTACTATGGCCGACGAAAACCTGCCTTCCACGTCATCATCTACACCGAGGCGTACGCATACGGAACTTCGTCCATTGAGGCCCACGAATAGAGTTAGTTGTAGCATGTTCACATATTGGGGTTAGAATAAGAAGGGGGTGGAAGTCGCTTAACAGTAATGGTTGATATAGATACTTTATGAGTATAGAAGGAAAAGGGGAGGGAATGAGTGGGGAAAAATGTTTTTACGACTATGTAGCTGGGAGTTGCTACTCAGGGGTAGGTGAGGGTAATGATCACGAAATAGATAGTGCCTTTTATCAGTTTATCACTTTTCTAAAAAAGCTCAAAGCCACGGGGCGGGAGACCCAGGGGTAAGTGAGGGTGCTCACTACGGTAATAAGCTTCTTAGCATCTCATGTCAGAGTTTGGAAGTTTCCCTGCGTACTTACTTTTAGCTCGGTAACACCAGCTTTAAAAAAGTGGATAAGCTATAGATTGATATTAAATGACTGGATAAATCTGAGGCTAGTTTCTTCATAGGATTACGATGTAGAAAGCTCGTTCGACATGTCACTCGACTATGCGGAGGAGTGTAGAACTCCATCGCAACCACTTCAATGTGAGTGAAAATTTCCTTGCGTACGAACGCTGTGAATGCGTTTCATTTAGTTGACTCCGAAAGGAACGCGCACTCTGCACGCGCACCACCGCAGATACCACCACCTGCGCTGTCCGAGCCGCTAGGTCTGTCAAACGTAACAAACGGCACAGTAGAAAATTGGCAGATCTTTAGAGGCTGTAAGAAGCTGCCTTGCGCGCGAAGTGGGTAGCTCCGATTTTTCCGGAGCTCTGTACGCAACGCTTACAAGAGGAGGATCGCTGAATTCTGTGTCCGTGCAGGTAACGTAGCGTTTCCGTGGCGGTGGTCTTCGAAAGTAGAACTTCATAGGAAACCTTGCACCATTGCATTCGACCAGTCAGACAGTTCGACATGGCAGATATCTCTCGTGTGGTGCAAAGTGCGGAGCGCTCGCGATTAGGCAACTTCTATGCCGCCGAAACAAATCGTTTGCTCGTGGAAATAGCGATCACGAATCGTGTCGAGGCGAGATTCACTACAACTACTTTAAAAAGAAATGAAAAACGTTTGCGATATAGATGAACTTGCTTCTGGCAAAAAACAGAGCTTTGGAGGATGAGGTAGACAGACTGAAGCAGATCCTCAGTGTCAAACGCGAATGAATTCCTGCGAAAGTACGCCCTTCCAAAAAGAGTAAAGAACGACGTCACCAGCGAAGTCATCGACTTTCTACGAACTCTGTTCAAAGAGGTGCGTATTTAACTCCGGATACAAAATGACTACCACATAACCTACACTTAGATCTGCGCACCCGATCCTTCTGATATCTGGAATTACGCGTATCGTGTTTCAAAAGTTGCTCGAAGGACGGATATAAGCAGTCTACCCGACACCATTGTTGATGGGCTTACAGGTGAAGGTAATTCACATCTAAAAGGGGTTAAGCTACAAAACATATAGAGTTCATTTTGGACGCTTTGGATCTGAACCACAACGAACTTTATGGATCGAGGCTGCATCTGCTGAAAAATTCACAGAACAGGTGCTGTCTATATCTACAATAAGCATTTTAGGCGCTGAAAATTTTTTTTAGTTTCTGGTTGTCGTTAGCTGAAAACGAGCAGGGACGTGAAAAAGTTTTCAATTTACTGCTGGAAAAGAAGTCGAAATGGAGCGTAAGCGCAAAAACATGCATTGCTGAAGCGCTGTAAGTCCACCACTTCTACATAACGCCATCATAAAAGGCAGTTTCTATTTTTAGGGAAGATGTGCGCTATTATCGCCTCCACGAACGTCATCTTGTTCCACCGAAGGTATGCTAAAATCCGCTGCCTCCCATTCCTATTCATATATATATAAATTTTTAGAAATCGATGGGTGCCCTTGTCAGACTTGGACGCACTGACAAAGAGGCGATGAGCACGGAGGCTTGGAAAGCAAACCTAGACGTCAGCATTGAGAACTTAGGCAGCCAGTGAAAACAACATCAATCCTTTTATCAATGTTTGTGTTGATATATGAATACTCGTTACGTGTATATGTACTGTATAGTTGCTAGTACAGTTACTGTAGTTATTCGATGAAGTCTTTATGTTAAGTGTTAAACAAACATTTCATCGTTAATAAATATGTACATTTCATAGTTAATAAATATATAGATGTTCTCTATAGCAATCGCATCAGAAGTGGTCATTAGCTGGGGTTCCGAGGGATCAAGCAAGAAGTTCCCCAGAACTTCAACTAATGAAGTTCCCGTGAGCTACAGTCTTTTGGAAAGTTCCCGAGAACTTTGGAGGACGAAGTTCCGGCGAACTATAATCTTTTATGAAGTTCCCATGAGCTTCAGAGCTGAAGTTCCCACGAACTTACAGTGGTGTTCCCACAAACTTACAATGGAGTTCCCCAGGTGACCCGCCGGAACTTTCTTCAATGTTCGCCGCAACTTCCCCCCGTTTGTCTGAGATCTTTTGTTTGACGTTTAAAAAAACTCCTGTGCAGCCTTGCGTTTTTTATTCAGGCTTCCAATCTTTCTAGAGCAAGCAGAATTTCAAATTTCAAAACTCAGCTTTTGTAGTCATAA